TTTTTTTTTTTTTATTTATTCCTTCTTTTTTAAACAAGACATTTATTAACTAACTGAAGTAATGTTTGTTTTTCAAGTGCTGCTGCTATTCTTTCTTTATCATTTAATTGTTTATTAACATCTTCTTCAGTTTGATGTGTTCCTTCTGTTAAATAAATGTCTAATTTAATACGTGGTGGAAGAATTCTCATTAACTTAGTCCGAATAGCCAAACCAATCAAAGTTGCCATTGTACAGTTATCTACTGTTGGTGTAAATTTGACAATAATATGATTTCCTTTATCATCAACATTAATTAAATCAGGACTTATTACTTTTAATTGTTCTAAAGTAACAGATGGATGTTCTGGGTCTTTAATTCTTCTTATATGTTCATATATTTCTAATTCATCAATATCTTCACGAATATTTAAATCCTCAACACTTTCAGAGATAGTGCGATGGATATCTAATTCTTGGTAAACATGAGGTGTTGGATTTGATGTGGTCATTGAAGAGTAGAAAAATAAACTAAATGGTTTTTATTTATTAAGTTTTAAGATTTAATTTGTTTTCATTTGTTTTGCATAGAAATTTAAAGGGAACTTAAAAAAATTAATGAATATTCTTGATATTAAAGAAATTCAACCATTGAAATATGCAGATAATTTAATTGATAATATTTGTAATAAAGGATTGATTGAAATGATTATGAATAAAACATTTACATTCTTTGTTTTACAAGATGGAACATTTAGATATTACAATTCAAATGGAACGTTTGGTGGATTTGATGAATTAGGAGAAGGAAGAACGTTTTCTATTTTTAATGAAAAGACAAATATCATTATTAGGGGAGATTGTACTGGAAAAATCTTTTTTGATATGTATAAACAAGAAGAAGATAAATGGATTAGTGCAGTTGATACATTTTTTGTAGAAAATAATAATAAACTTTCATTTCATGATCCTGAATTATCAAAAATGTATTTCTTTGTTGGAGAAGATATATTACAAATATATAGTTATTCTGTTGTTTTATTAAATGAAAATAGTGAAAAAACAGATAAAATTCAAGAAGCAAAACATTTCGCTGTTTTAGTTCAAAATATAGAAGATGTTCAATTAAAAGGAGTTGCATCTAATGTTATTATGTCAAAATATGGATTATTTATTATTCAACGTCAAAATATTCAATTTTACAAATTTATTACAAATGAACTTTTAGAAGTTCAAGCAACACCTGGAACATTTAAAACAAATGATTTTAGAGTTATTCAATATTATATTCATCCACAAACATCAGACTTATTAATGATTTCAGAAAATGGAGAAGTTTATTTAATTGATTCAAAGTCTAATCTTCTTATTCCAATAAAAATTGGAGTAATTAAACTTCCAAATGAAGATTATAAAATTCATTTTTATTATAGATTCCTTATTATTTTAACAGATCATAGAATGTATATTTATAATATGAGAAAAATGAAAAATCCAATTATTGTAGATACTATAAAGAATTATGAAGTATCATCTATTGTTCCATGGAATAATCCAGATGTGTCTATTGGATTTTATTCTAATTCATTAAAATCATTTAATGAATATTTATTTAATGAAAAAATGAAATATTCAACTGATATGAAAGAAGGAATGTTATATTTTCTGTTAAATGATTTTAAAAATACATTAGTTGGTATTCAACATTTAAATTCACAATTAATCACAAGGTTCTTAGATAGACTTGGAAATGATCTTCCTCTAATTATTTTCCTTTCAACAAAACCTGAATATAGAGAATATGCTATAAACCGATTTAAAGAACGATATAATCATGAATATTTAATAAGTATGGCTAATGGATGGAATCCTCAAGATGTTGAAACATATTTTACTGAATTACAACAAACAATACAACCAGAACATATTTTATTACATACTCCAACAAAAAAAGAATGGGAACCTCAAAAATTTAATTTAGCTGATGTAACAGTTCAATTATGTAATAATCCTACAGAAGAAAAAATTGCCAAAGTATATTCATTACTTGGAATTACACATGAAAATCAAGTTATTTCTATTCCTGATGAACTTATTACATCAATTACTCAACACCAAACAAATTGGCTTAGACCATTAATAATTCCATTATTAAAATTAAGACCTTATGAATTATTACAACATATGATCATTATTACTGATGACCTTCCACAATTAGATGTTATTGTAATGTTTCAACAAGTTTTTACACCTATTGATTTATATTATCAAAAACATCAACTTAATAAAGATCAACAAATTGTTTATGCAATATTTATTACTGTTATTTCATCATTTAATAAAGCATTAGACAGTCTTACTGATGATTTAGTTCCTATTTTCCTTGAAAGACTCCTTGCTTTCCCTTTAGACAAACTTACTATTAGTTATAAATTACTTTGTTCTCATGCTTTACACAAATCATTGATCAAAGGAAATATGGAATTGGCAGAAGTTATTTTTAAGACTATTTGGAGAAGATATACACCATCAACAATTGAGAATATTTTAGAGGATATTCTTCAACAAGAATTATATGAAAAACAAACAACAGCAGAAGCACAACAATGGATAATAAAGAAAATTTCATTGAATTAAGAATAACATTTTATTTTATAATTTTGTTATTAAAAGAATGAACTAAAAAGAAATAACTAAAAAGAGACTTATTATTTTCTTTTTTATTATAATCAAATGGAACAGCCGTCGTTTCAAACAAGATGTCTTCAAATTATGATTGAAAAAATTGATAAAATAAAAGAAATAAATGATCCAACAATGATAGTAGAATTAAGACATCACTTTCAAGAATTTATTAATACACTTAATTTAGCAACAAATTATGTAATTGAATGGATAGAATATATTCATAATAAAGATTCAGAATTATATAATCATTTATATTTATTATTACAATTGTATCAGTTTGTGAAATATCATTTAATGTATTTTATTATTTTTGTTTTGAAAAAAAAA